AACACTATTTTAAAATTAATTGTCATTAAAAAAATAAAATTTAACATTTATTTAATTAACTATTCAATTAAAATAATACATATAATATTAATGATAAAATTAATGTCAATTTTTATTATTTTTATATTAATTAATATGAAAAATGTGTATTAATCACATCATTAACTTGTGCTTTGAGAGTATAGATTAAATAAATTATTAATTTAATTAGCTTATATAAAATAATATAAAAAAGCTACATTAGACTCCAAAAAAAGCCACATGGCTTCCAACTCAACAGTGGAACCCCACCTTACCCAGTGCACTATAAATTTTTTAGAACAATGATATATGGATAATATTTTTATACAATATTTTTATATAATTTTTAAGTATCATTTAATAAATAAATATACTCAATATCATATGTTTCAAATAAATAAAAAGAATTATTTATCTAAATAACACATAAAATTATATAAAAAAATAAAAATAAATATTATTTCTAAATCGTTTTTCAATTTTTAATGATGTGCTGACTCACTCGTTAAATAAGAACTGATTTGTCACCATCTGAAGAGTTTGAAGGTTGAAAAGCCGGTTGTTTTTAGGTAAGGGCCTGATACGCTACCAAAGGAAGAGTACGAGGGCTGATTTTCCCTTTTTGCTATATGCCCAAAAAAAAAAAAAAAAAAACTAATTTTCAATGCTGACTCTGAGTCTGAGGAGACTTTACGCTTCCAAATTCTGTAGTCATGTCTTCTTTCTCCCCCACGCTCTTAACAATTTTTCTCTCGCTTTTTTCATGCCGCAGCAGCTGCTGCCATTTTTCATGCCGCTGCTCAGTTTCTAATTATACCCTTTCATTTATGATCTCTTGAAATCTATAAGCAGAACCCCATCCCGGTTGGAGACTTGGAGCAGAGTGCGAGTGATTTGGAGAGAGATGTGGTTGTTTAACAGGAAAGGTCCATCTGGGTTCTCAGCATCTTCCACGGCTGAGGAGGTCACTCAAGGGATTGATGGAACTGGACTCACTGCCATTGTTACAGGTCAATTCTTTATCTATTTTCTTCTTTTTTTTTTTCAAGTTCATTTTTTGATTTAATGTAGAATGCTTGAATAGCATCTGATATGAATCATGGGTTGGAAATAGATGTGTTGTTGGATATTTTACATCAGGACTTTCCGTCCTCTGTTTACTAACTTGGATGGATATTTGCTCTTTCATGGTCACTCTGATTGTAGGAGCATCTAGTGGCATTGGTGCTGAAACTGCACGCGTTCTTGCAATGCGTGGTGTCCATGTAATCATGGGGGTCCGGAATATGTCTGCTGGTAGCGATGTAAAAGAAGCAATTGTTAAGGAAATCCCCTCTGCCAAAGTTGATGTCATGGAGTTGGACCTGAGTTCATTTGAATCAGTAAGGAAATTTGCATCAGAATACAATTCCTTGGGTCTTCCATTGAACCTCTTGATGTAAGAAATGGAACCTTTTGAACTTTTTGTCTCAAGGCTAGAGATGTGTTTATTATCATACTCATGTTTCTCTGCATTATTAATTGATTACTTCCTGTTCTATTATACTAATCGTCCACCCTGCTGTTTGATCACCCTTTTATGCCTAAAAAGTAATTGTGCATCATGAGATATTTCAAAGCCTTAAATGTACAGACAATTACCGAAGGATGTGACTCTTTTCACTCTTTGTTGCCACTTGCTAGTAATAATGCAGGATTTTTTGGCACTCCTTTCAAGCTTTCCAGAGACAACATAGAACTACATTTTGCAACAAATCACCTCGGTATGTTGCATATATATATATATATATATATATTTGGGATATCTCTTGTTGATCCATATTCTTAGCAATGTCAGTATGAAGTGGCCCGAAAGACTGAAACTTCTTATTACTTCATGCAATTTTTTGTTCAAGACTTCTGAGCATTGGTAATTAATTAAAAATGGGAAAGGTGTAATCTGGCTTTATTAAGATCTCCTTATTCAGGAAAAGCAGCTTATCCTCTTATGAATTAAAAGATAAAAGATACAGAGAAAATTAATGGTTGTTGTCATCTCATTTAGACTGCCTAAAACTTCCAAGTTACTAGTGCGCCACTTCACTACTTGTTTTTTTCATTGCACTTAGAATTTGATACAATTATTAGAAGGTTCTACTGTTTCTCATGTCCATAGATTCCAATGCTTAATGCTTTGCAGGTCATTTTCTTTTGACAAATCTCTTGTTGGACAAAATGAAGAAAACAACATGTGAAAGTAAAAGAGAAGGGCGAATCATAAATGTGTCGTCAGAGGCTCACCATCTTTTCCAATATTCTGAGGGAATTCGTTTTGATAGGATCAATGATCAATCAGGGTAATGTTATAAACATAGACATACCTGTTATCTTCAGCCTTTTGACTTCCTGTTAGTGGTGGATCTCTTTTAAGAAGGGTTATCATGAAAATTCAACTATTTTTCAAATTTGAGTATGGACTTAATGTGCATGACAGTATGTTCATTAGTTATCAGGCTTCATGTTGCTATTGTTTGGTATAATATCTTAATTATTAAGATGCACAAAGTTAGGTCAAATTTGTTATGAAACCACCAATAAGTTGCAAAAGAAAAGAGTTGCATTATCCCCTCAACCCCCCTCCCCTGCCCCCTTCCTTTAGTAGTTTGGCAAGATATAAGTGGGACTAGTTCCTGATGAAATTACACCCTCAGGTTAACTTTATTTGATACATTTGGCTCACTTTTCCTCTCACAAGTCTCACAAGGTGGAATATCCATACCCTTATTTAGGATGTTTAAACTTTCTTAAAAATGATTAATGACTCCAAAAGCAATGTGTTTCTCACAGCTCACATATTAAAACATCTCACCATGTATGTTTATACTTTATAATTATCCAAATTATTATGAACAAATTTTATTGTTTCATCCAATGGGTCAAAACCTGATATATTTGTTTATTCTTTATATCTTTGATTTCATTGCCTGCATACTTGTGGACAGTTGTTTGGATGATGATTAGTTATTTCACAACGTGGAGATGTTGGAATTCATTTTATTGCCCTTGGACTTGATAATGGACAGGTACAGCAGATTTACTGCATATGGCCAATCAAAGCTAGCTAATGTTTTGCATGCTAATGAACTTGCAAGACGTCTTAAGGTATGTTGATGCATTATTACTAGCATAAAAGATGGAAGATACTATGGTGTAAGATTGTCGCATACAGGTTGCAATTTGAATTATTGATTTTTTGTTTGCAAAAGGCTTTATAGATACTAAATCTTTGCTTCTGACTTTGCCCCTCATTAGTTTTTATTTCAAACTTTTTTTCCTGTGACCTTTCATGCTTTAGTTTGGCATAGCAAGTGCAGTAGAGATTTTAATTTTTCTTATCATTCAGTTTCCATTGGCATTATCTCCCCTGGTGCCTGAAAATGTGAACTTTTCAGAAACCTAGCAAGTTTTCCAGCATGCATGATGGGTTTAAATATTTCATTTAAAAGGAATTTTTGAAGTAGATTATTTGGAGATTGGCTTGGATATCATATGTTACTAGACTATAATTGTGTTATCCTGTTGTAAGCCTGCTCATGCATTTGTAGCTATGTTACATAAACTCTGGAATCAGGACCAAGTGTCTGATATTGATTTCCTTAAATAATGCAGCCCTGAATCCTTTTTAATTTTGTGTAATAGGTCACCTTTATTTTTATTAGAAGAACCTGTTACATTGTTTTCTAAGCACCTGGTTATCAAAACATATATTTCTTTGGGTTGCTAGCCATATCAGTTAAGCATTACAATATTTACTAAACAGTAAGATTTTATGCTGCAAAGATTGTACTTTCTGAAGTGGACCTCCTTAGATGTTTATTATTTTATGGAGTTCTCATCAGCTTATATTTTTATGTAACTTAAGAGTGTGGTTCTCCTTTGTCAGTAGAGATCACAATGATGCTAATCTGACATTAGTTTTATTACATGTGACCTTTTAGGTTTTGCTATGCTTTTCTTTACATAATTTGTACACTTACAGGTAAATTCCCTTTGAATGGGGATGTCCCTTTTAAATGGTCTTTCCGTACTTTAACTGTACTGTTGACAGTATCAAATTTAGATGTTTCTGTGCTTGTGAAAATATAGATAATGCTATTTCTGTCACAGTTATGCTCTTTCTCTGTCTTCACTGTGGTAATTTGAAATTGCTATGTAAGATGTGCATGATGTTTTTTTCTTTGAGCAGGAAGATGGAGTAGATATAACTGCAAATTCACTTCATCCAGGATTAGTTGTCACCAATATTGCCCGTTATTATTTGGGCATCTTTAATGGTAATTATTTAAGTGTTTGATGTTATGATTGGGATTTCTCCAGTGTGGTGCATCATTTTTTCTTTCCTGATCCAAGGAAGCAATATGGATACTGCTACCTCACACATAAAGCATGCAAGTCACTTTACTTCCTTTGTCTTGCTACAGGCCTTTTTCACAAGATTGGTAAATTTGTATTGAAGAATGTCCAGCAGGTAAGTTGTTTGCACTTTCAGGTGTATTATTCTTTAACCTTATCAAAGTTTAGGTAAGATACATGGTGAAAACTAGAAATGAACTTGAAAATTCAGGGATCTTGTGTTACTAGGGAACAAAGCTCAGTACTTAACATGATGAATTTCAGCACTTCAGTCCCACTTACCTTTTGCTAATATCATTTAGTTGAAAAGAATGATATTATTCTATTACAGCAAACATGTTGTGTTAAGCGTACTAGAATATATATATCTCTGCACTTCTACATGGTGATTTTTTTCTTTGATTACAGGGAGCTGCTACAACATGCTATGTGGCATTGCATCCAAAAGTAGAGGGAGTTACGTGTGGATATTTTACAGACAGTAATATTGGGCAAGCAAGTGAGAAGGGAAGGGATGCCGATTTGGCCAAGAAACTCTGGGATTTCAGCATGGATATGATCCAATGATGTTGCCAGTATGCATTGGTACTTAGTGTCTGTAAATATATATAGTCATACAAATCTTGCATGTACTACAAGATTATACATTTTATTGAATTAAAATGTGAGTGTTATATTAAGTTTACAAGTGTGGATATTGTTTTTTTTTTTTTTTTTGACAGTAGAAACTTGGTTAGTCAAATTGTGTGTGTGGATATTGTTTTGATGGAGTTTTGGTGGGTGTTTTTGGGGTTTAGTTTCCTACCGTGTTGTATTCTTCCCATGAGCAATATTTCTTCTCATCTCTGCATATATTTTATAGTTCCTAGTACTAATATGGTTATGATTACACTAATTGCTTTTGGAATTTAGTTGCTGCCATCAATAAACCTAGTTGTCCTATTTAACTTCCTAGTAGAGACGCATTTGATTACACAAAGCCAGAAAGCATGTTTGAATATCAATATTTTGAAATCAATGCAGCTTTTATTCTCCTGGTGGTTATTTTGTATTGTTTCTGCTAGCAAATCTCCATGCCATACATCGTGTATTTTATTGCTAGTGGTATTACTTATTGTGTAACCACAAGTGGTGGGCATGTTTGAGACCCTTTTTATGAGTTGCTGCATCTTTTAATTTCTAGTACTTTTTTCTCTTACTGGCTAGTGGTTTAATTTCCGTGTGAAGTAGCTTACTAGAAAAATTAGTATTTGCTAGTATTAGTGTAAGCCATTGTCGCCTGTGTTGGTCTTGCATAGCATGTTTAGCATCCATCCGTGTTGGACTGTAGTGTAGTGTTTATGCATGTCAATTATTTGATACTAAGAACTAATAGTGTAGTGGTTACAAATCTTCTCTTTATATTAGTTTGAGTTGCCCTTCACTCGTGTGTTCTTGTAGGGAGCTGTTTCTGCTGTTTATTTTGCATTTCTAAGTCTAACTTGCAGGGTTTGTTCGTTGGCCTTGTGAAGTTTCTTGTTTGATAAGTCTTTTGTTTTAAAACTCAAAATATCAAATTAAGAGTACTATTATTTAATCGATAGAGTAATTTTTGTTTAAATCAAGTTTTAATATTCACAGCTAAAATTATAAAATTGTTTAGTAATATTAGAATTATAGGAGAGTAGAAAACTAAATGCAACCGGGCAAAATGTGGAGTGCTTTAATTTTTAAGAATAAAAATAAAAATTGAAACAAAAAAATTAAAACATTCAATAAGACGAGAAGTGTTTGTAGCACGTAAGTCTATATTGAATTAATTTAACACTCATTTTAAAATTAGTTTTATTTTTCTTAATAATTATTTTAAGGGATTCGTTAGAATATATATTAAAAATATAATTCAACTAATGAAATTATTAAAATATTTTTAATAAAATAAATATAAAAAATAATTTTATTAAAAGATTTTAATAAATTTATAAAATTTGTGACACTTTTTTATTATAATAATACGATCATAATCAAACATAAAATTAAACCAGGTTTGTTTTTTTTTACATAAGGTTGAGAATTTATAAAAATCAAAATAAAAAATTAGCTATACTGAACAGATTTTAAAAAATTAGCTAATATTTTT